CGTAGAATGCTGACCTGGTGCACTTGGTCTGGTTATGTAGGACAATAACCATATGCCAGATATCCCAAATCTTAAAAGATCCAGAATATAGGGGTAGAAGACCTGGGGAGATAGCTCAGTAGAATAAGCGCTTGCCTGGCAAGCGCCTGAGTTCAATCTCCAGTACTGCAAAAAAAAAAAAAAAAAAAAAAAAAAAACCCAAAAACCACCATAGAATATAAGGGTAGGGAGAGCAGAAGAAAAAGATTTTAAGCATCTACATTAAGACTGATAATTTCAAGCACTGTTGCCCTAAACTTGATTTGGGATCACCTATCCATTATTTCTTGCTCTGCTGTTTCTGTATTCATTTTTTTTTTTTTTTCTTTTTCAGACAGGGCTTCACTATGCAGTTCAGGCTGGCCTTCAGCTCACTTTGTAGCCCAGGTTGGCCTTGAACTTGGGTCAGCCTCCCAAGTGCTGCCATTATAGGTGTGCGCCACCATGCCTGACAGTTCCTGGCCTGCTGTAAGATCGGCTATCTGAACCAAGTAGAAGGATGGCCTTGGTATTACACTGGGTTAGGGCAGAGCTGAGATGACAGAGCTCAGACCTCCTCGAAGACAGCAAGATAAAACTGATGCAAACTTGTAAAAGTAAGTTTGGTTTTTTTAAACAAAATGATAGAGCAAGTCAGAGGCACGAGGCTATAGAAGGCAGGCTCATGCATAGCAGAAGAAAAAACAACATCCCTGATAGGAAATAGTCCCCACATTTCCCAGCACAAAGCAGTGAGGTGCAGTTGCTAATTTGTTATGCATTTACATATAAGGCAGGGCAAACTTGCACAGTAGTAGTTAGGGCTTACGAGAGGGGAAAACTGAGGCCTAGAAAGTTTAAGAGGCCAACAATTCAGATTTAAATTTGTTGGATTCAAGTATAATCAAGAAATTCAAGTTTATTCAAGTATAAACTTCACAAAGAATGAAGTTTATTTATTTATTTTTTTGCGGTATCAGGGATCAAACTCAGGACCTTGCACTTGCCAGGCAGACACTTATGCCTCTGAGCTATATCTCTGGCCTCTAGAGTGAAGTTTAGAATCAGAAGCCTGAATCAGGAAACAGCTGACTCCTGCCAAGTGTCATTTTGGTTATGAAGATACACACATGTGGCACATGGCTTAAGGTGGCACCACTTACCGTTCAGAAAAGCACTTTTGGGGCCGGGGAGATGGCTCAGTGGAATAAGTGCTTCCCTGGCAAGCACAAGGACTTGAGTTCAATCCCCAGTTCCACAAAAAAAAAAAAAAAAAAAAAAAAAAAAAAAAAAAAAAAAAAAAAGAAAGAAAGAAGAAAGAAGAAAGAAAGAAAGAAAGAAAGAAAGAAAGAAAGAAAGAAAGAAAAAGAAAAGCACTTTTGGTTCTTTAAAGGGGTCTGTTTTAATTTCTGGAAATTTCCCCCAGATGAGCACTGTCCTTCCCAATGCATGATAAATGAAGTATTTTGCTACTGCACATAACGCACCCAGTAATGGTGGTGTAGACTTCCTGCAAGGTCTTTGGCCTAAGAACAGCTCTTTCAAGTTTCCTAGTGTCATTTGTGCTTTCTGGAAAATGTATTCCAATATACCCATTTGGAAAATGGCCATTTCTTACGGGGACCCAGCCTGCGGGAATGGGTTTTACTGGGTCTGGGCCCCTGAGGTGAGGGGTTGCCATACCTCTTTGAGGACTCATGGAGAAGCTGTTTTTATGACACATGGGTGAATGTTTTAGAAAATACAGATACTCTAAATTTTGAAAATGGAAAAAACACTCAACTTTGTGTGTGTGTTTCTAAAACCATTAACACAGCCTGCTGCCTCATGACTCAGGGGAAAGGCCTCAGTCTGCCAAAGCAGCAGCCTCCTCTGTTCCCCAGGGGACCAGGCGGCTTCTTTCTTTTTGCTCTCAGAGCCCTTTGTCCTGCCCTTCTACCCTTAGTACAGGAGCCTGGCACTGCCCGTAGGGGCTGCCCAGGCTCCAGGGCAGCCTGTGGGAGCTCAGGCCCAAGGGAGGGAAGGATCAGCGCTCACCAGGGACAACGGCCTTGAGTGCACTGATTTAGGCAAGGCCAAGCCTTGTGAGTGAAATTTTCCAAGCAGACAGCAGGCTTCAGTGGAACAAAGCGAACAAGTGGTGGTCAGGGGCAAAGTCTGTCTGGGGTTTACTCAGCAACTGCCTTGACCTTAGCAATGCAGATTTTAAGGTGCAGAGAGCTAAAGTCTTAGGGGCCAGAGATGAGAGTAATTTTTCCATACCAGGAACTGTTCCAGGGCCAGGGGCAATTTTTACAATAAATCTTACACACAGAAAAAGGAAGAGAAAAAGGAGGACTGACTGCCCTCTCCCCAGGGCTGGGAGGCTTTTATTTTCCTGACTTTCTTGCTCATTTCCCCTCATCCTAAGGTGTCGCTGCTACACTTGCATCATCAAGGACAGTGGAAGCGGTCCTTTTGGGAAGTGTTCACCTTATGGGCCTAGACAGCCAAGTTCAGTTTGGCGCCCATTTCCTGTTAACGGTGTTCTGCAAACATAGGAGCTTCCTTGGAACCAAAATGAAAAGAGGGAGAGGGAAGGAGTAAGAACCATGAAAGCCCACAGAAAACGTCCACAGCACCTCAGAGAGGAAGAAGCTGAGACACCCAGATGTGTCGTTCCGAATATAAAAATTAATGAAAATAGAGTAAAGCAGAAAAAAGGGGGCAGGGAGAGCTGAACGTAAGGCTTGGTAGATGAGGCTTAACCCGGAGCCGTTCTTACAATCTGGCATGGAAACAGACCCAGAAAGAGTTTTCCAGACCTTCCTGACCTTTGCAGGTCGAAGCCAGAAGCTCGGGGAGTGGGAGCAGGGAGGAAAACAGGAAACTACTCAGCGAGGTGGGTAAGCCAGGCTCTACCCTGGGACGAACCTGCTTCCTCGGCTGCAGTTGCAGCCAGGGCCATAGTCTGTGCCTCCGAGTTCTCCCTGCACTGCTCGGGGCCGCTGCAGCCGGGAAGGAGACAAGGACGTGCTTTTCACACCTTTTCATACTTGCCAGCTTACTGACACCCGAGCTTTTCCATCCAGAAAGCTGTACCTTTTCATTCTTCTATGAAGCACTCAGAACTCGGCCTCTTAGCAATTTCCCTGCAAGATCTGCTGGCATCAGCAGAAGAGAATTTGGCCCTCAGTGTGGAGAGGTGCTTAGTCAAATTTCTCTGAGCTCAGCCCCAAGCTCTCTGCAAATTATGCATCAGTGTGTGCCAATATGCCACAGCCCTGCCAGAGGCACCAGGGCCCCACATGCCTTCTAACGAGGCTCTCTTCTAACCAAAAATTGTTAGTAAAGTTCACTGTCAGGGAAGTAGAAGACTTGACCCGCTGAGTCAACGTGTCCAGGATGTGGACATAACAGAGACAAAAGAGGAACCAGTGCTAGTGTTGCCCACTGTCATCTGCCTAGTCAGGAGTGGCCTTGGGATTTGGACTCCACCTAAGGGCTCTTGGTTCTATGTGGCATCCATCTGGGAAACCATCTGGGTTTCAGCAGAGACTACCTCTCCTGAGGAGGAGGCCATCATGTAGGTGCAAAGGAGTCCTCCGAGGGCAAAAATGGCATCAACTCACCAAGCCCCGCACTTTCTGGCAGACTGCTAAGAGGGGCCTCGCTTCCTCGTGAAGGAAGGGCTGCCTGGGACCTACGCCTGCTCTGAAGTGCAGGCCGGGGTCTTGCTTGCTCCTCTATACCTTCCCCACCAGCTGGCTACTTTATTCATTTTCCAGCACCCACAGTGCATTTGGTGACAGAGTTTATTACTCAGGCAGTGCAATGGAATGGGACACTGGACGCTGATCTGGAGCAGAACACGTTGTGAGACACTCTTTTCTGCAGACAGTTTTCACTTTGGAGACAGGGGAACTAGGGAAGGAGCCCAGGGCCTTCATGCAGAGCTGTCCCTAGCCCTGTGGATTCTTAATTTTGAGACACACTTTCACTAATTTGCTAAGTTGTCCAGGTTGGAATCAAACTTTTGAATCTTTGCCTCATCCTCTCAGAGGGCTGGTAATACAGGCACATACAGTCAGACTTCCACCTTTGCACAGCAAGCAAAAAATTTAAAAGAGAGCTTATCAGAATACACACACACACACACACACACACACACACACACACACTTTCATTTGTCATATTACAGCACTACCTGCTTATATAGAGACCTCAGATACAGCTTTCTAAAGCACTCATAAGTGTCAATGTCCACTTAGCATCTCCTACGCCACATTTCCAAGGTGACAGGGCAGATGTCATGCTAGAAGACATCTGAGTCATCTTGAGTGACTGACTTAACCACTCTCTGTTGCAAAACGGAGATCACGGGGCACCAACTTCCCAGGCCCTTTCATCATGAGAATAAACAGATTAATATTTGTAAAGCAATTAGAAAAGTATTAAATAAATCTATAATGTCAGATTGGAGACTCTCACCTGTGTAGCACAGATATCAAAAATCAATGAGTCTAGACCAACCCTCAGAGTCAGATCTATGCGCTCTCTCTGTGATAAGGCAACCAGCTGGCACCTCGTAACAGAGTGGGGCTGACTCAGAGAAGTCTTCGCTTGGAGACTGGCTGCCGTTTTATTGAGGAAGCGGGTACATTCCTCCATGGAGCAGCAGTAGAAAGGGCCGTCGCCAAGGGGAAGGTAAATCCCAGCATGTGGGGGGGTGTGTGGGTGTGCGGTTCAGAGCCCACCCCTGCCCCACTGGGTAATCCTTTCTATCCCTAGAGACTGGGTACTGTTCTTTACACTTGACTCCACAAGGTTCTTCTATCCTCCATTCTGTGGAGTCAGTGCCCCCTTTATCTCCCTGAAGGAGGATATGGTCTTGTGGTTTCCCCTCAGGGGCTGAGATCACACAGCAGGGACAGAAGAACACTAGGTGGGCTGGGGGCTCGAGACCCCAAGGGGCAGCACAGTCGAGCAACAGTCATGCTTACTTGCAGTCGTGCTTCTCAATTTCAAAGTGAGGGTTGAAGTTGAGGACAATCTTCTGGTTGGGCTCGGGGGCGTAAACAATCCACTCACAGTTCTGGTGGGAGGGGTAGTCCTGGGGGTACCCTGGAGAGGTGATATAGCCGGCATCTTTGGAATTCAAACGACCTCCACAGGGTGGGTCTGGAAGAGAAAGCAGCAACCCAAAGGGTTTACACATTAAGGTCTTTCCTCCATGCCCCCCTTCCTCCATGCCCCCCTTCGCTTGCCCCCCTTTCCTTTTCGCACTCAGTGGCTGATCAAAACTATTTTACAGCTCATTCGTGGCAGTCCAGGAGGCTAACCTACTTGCTCATTCAGTGGAAGAGATGATTTCAGTCTATCCCTCTCCCTCCCAGCCAACTCCCCCCAAATATTCTGGTTATAAATATTCCCAATCATATGGTCTGAGATTATCAAAACAAGAAAGCTGTACACTCAACCTGCCTCCCTGCCTTTTCCTAGCTCCCCTTCTTGGCCCATATGCCTCTCCTCCTTCAACCCTGCAACCTTTCTTTACTTCATCAATCCTTCCTTCTAGTCAGTGTCTCCCAGCCCAGCCCAGGCAGCCAGCAGTCAAGGCTCCAGGAACTGACAATCATGGTTTTGTGGTGCAGACCCACAAGCGGGGCTGGTAACAATTACACGTGGTGCAAGGAAGCACTTTCTGCATTGGGTCAGAATAGACCCTGGGGAGTGATTTCAGTCTTTTTTCTTCTCTCTCTTTTTAAGAAAGAAAAAGCAAAATCTCCAAACACTTAATTCCACATATACTACAAATCTGATTTATTATTTCATTATATACCAAATGGAAAAATCTGCATTGGAGAAGCCCTTGGGTCCAGCCTCAGAATCTCCACAAAGTTGCTCTGTGTTGAGTGGACGCCTAGTTATCTGTGCACACTGTCCCTCCTGCCTGGTCACCACCACCAGAGTGTGCTGCCACTTTTTCCAGCCTCTCCAGCTGCAGGGAAGGCTGTGGCAGGCAGGAGCTGGCTCCCCCTCCCTGCAGAGCCTGGCTAGAGGTAAACAGCCTCATGTGGGCCAGAAGGGATGGGGGCGACCTTCAAAGGCAGAAAAGGTGGGCGATGACATTTGAAAAATCTCATCTATTTGAAAGTGAAGTGCTGTGATCCCTGGCAGGGGTTCTTGGGAAATGGGGGCTTTTGCTTAATACCACAGTTAGAACAGAGAGGCACAAGAGACATGGAAATATCCAGAAGCCTCTTGGAGGCCTTCCTGAGATGTGTGTGTCTCTTAGCATCAATCACAATTTAATATCGCCATCTGCATGGAGCAGCATGGGCCCCTGAATTATGTATGACAGCTCAGCAGCCGCCCTCCAGGACAGGGTCTTTCTCCTGTGTTCCCTCTTTGAGGGAGCAGGTCATGCATTTTTAACTCTACAGGTGCACTTTACCATTCCCTGTGTCTGTTGGCATTACTGTCTTCCAGACCTCAGCTTCAGATTTCCCGCCTGACAGGCTTTAAATGCATAAATGATGGGCACACTGCACACCAGTGCTTGGGACACAAATCCACACAAGTAGCCTTTTGGGCATCCAGCTTCCAAGACCTCTAACTGTGCTGCGGAACTGCCCAGAATCTAATGGATTCAGGTCTATTTCTTACTGGGAGAACAAAAGCCATTTCCTCAGGCTAGCAGACACCACATCATCCTCTACCTAATGACCCTGGACCCGCCCCAGTCCAGAAGGACAGTGGCCCATCCCTTCCACCCAGGCACAGCTAATGCCTGCAGCCCTTCCCAGCGCCCACAGCACCCGCCCACACTGGGCACCCAACTTCTCCCAGCTGGCCACATGGTGGATGATTGGGCCCATAGGAAATAGAGCCTCTGGGAAAGCAGAAGTGTGGGCACTTAGCTCATCAGCTGCTTTTACCAAACTAGCAAAAGAAGGAATTTTCTTCTGGGTCTAGGTCTCCTGCCAGCTATTTTTCAAAAAACTACATCCCTGCCATGACCCACCCCAAACCACATTTTTTGCCCTGGAACTCATCAGAGGAAATCTGAGCTGAGCTCCTGTTCAGTAACCCTTATGGTTTCCACATCATCCACATGCTCTCCCGTTTTTCCCAACCCCTTCCCTGCTTCTCTCCAGTTACTCTTGAAAGAAGAATTTCTCTGTCTCAATTCCCTAAACCCCAAGCTTAAGCTTTTAGTAATTAGACCAGGCTCACAGATCAGCAAGAAGACAGGAAACTTCCTCAGAGGAAAGAATCATTTGTCATTAATACTAGGAGCAACCATTTCCCTACTACAAAAAAAAAAAAAAAAAAAAAAAAACCATAGTATTTCCATGCCATAGATGATAGATGACACTTTCTGTTGTTAAAAATTTACTTAACCAAAAGAAAGAAAAATCAAAGTACTTACTGAAATACTTGCAAACCCATTAAAACATCTGCTTTGGTTGTGTGTGGCTAACTTTTTCAATATCCAAACATTTATAAACTCACATTCTTGTTTAGATTGGATTCAGACTCAGAAACACACACAAGCATAGATGTTGAACATACAGTACATATACATATTAGTAATTCACACTTTAGTCCTGTACACAGATTCGCACCCTCTCACAAAATATCACACACCATTTGCACAGACACACATCCACAAAGATAAATATTAAAATTGCTATCTCTCTTTTTCTTGGGGAGAAAGGCATTCTTGAAAGGCATTAGTAAAAACTGTAAAGAAAACACATTCAATCCTTCAACATTTCTTCTTTGATAATCGATCTTTCATTTTCAGAGTTGGGGGGGTCCTTCATTTCTGTGAAAAAATACAGTCCAATAGAAATTAGCTGAAGTTTCTTGGCTAGAGCTGCATCATCCAGGGCTTTGTAGGCCTTCACTGTGTTTCAAAACGAACTTCATAGCTGCTTTCTGTCCTATTTCAGGGGTCCAGCGAAGCCAAAGGAGAGTTGAACCCAAGGGCAAACCCCTTAAGGCCAATCTTCTTATAGAAAGGAAATTGACCCTGTTAAGTGGAGCTACTGAGCCAGTTTGGTGAGTTGACAAGAGACATCATTCCCAACTATTCTGTGAATACCTTTCACCTGGGGCAAATTCAGGTCCTAAAGAGAAGCAGCAAAACCCAGGTAAAAAATGCAAAGCCCTTTCTTCCTCCACCTGAGAGAGGAGCTCTAGTGGTGAGCCCAAGGCGTAAAGAGCCCCTGGAACACCTCTAGGTGTAATTTCAAGGAAATAGAACACTGTGTTCTTTTTTTTTTTTTTTTTTAATGTATTTAGTACAGGGTCTACAGGGTCTCACTACACAGATCAGACTCAGAGAGCTTCTCCTGTTTTCAGCCTCCCAAGTGCTGGAATTACTGGTGTGAGGCACCATGCCCAGTCTCAATAGCCATCTCAGTGCGCCTGGGGGCGGGGTTGGGGTCAGGGGCATGGCTGGGTTGGCAAAGCAGGGCAGGTTGGGGATAGAACATTAGCCGCTGTGCTCTACCTAAGCTGGCGCTTTAATTCCCTGGGCTATCTGGCAGGCCCAGAACACCGTGTTCTAAAGTCACAGTGTTTTGAATTTCCCGATAATGACTACTTAGGTGTTTTAATATTGAAATACAAAATATCAAATTATTTTAAAATCTTTAAGCCTGAGCCCCACCCCCACCACAGGCATCCTTGCTTTGCCACTACCTAAGCAGCTGCTGGTAATTTGGTCCTGGAAAGGGAGAGGAGCTTTGTGTCTATTCACTTAGGAAATCACCTGCTCAGAGAACCAACTTTAGGATAGATGTTGGTTCCTCTGTAGTACTGAATTTTTGGAATTATTAGAAAGTGAAAGAAGAACTCTTTAAGTATCTGGTCTGCCTTCTAGGAAAATTTAATTGTAGTTGTTTTAAAGGATCACCATCTGGCCTGAAATTGACAGTAGTTGCAAAAGTGCACCCTGGCTCTAGTGTGCAATTTTATTTTTATTTTATTTTATTTTTTAACATATTTAGTACAGAGTCGACAGGGTCTCACTATACAGATCAGACTCGTAGTCATCCTCCTGTTTTTTTGTTTGTTTGTTTGTTTGTTTTTGGTGGAACCAGGGATTGAACTCAGGCCCTCGCCCTTGCCAGGGAAGTGATTATTCCACTGAGCCATCTCCCTGGCCCCATCCTCCTATTTTCAACCTCCCAAGTGCTGGGATTAAAGGTGTGTACCACCATGTAGCATGCAATTTTAAATAACCAGAATTACAGTGATTACTTCACAAGAGTCAGAGTTGTGTGACAACAAGTTGTATTACAACAGCCAGAGTTGTAAAGAACAATTACAACCTTTGGCCAAACTGAAGACCAAACTAGGGACCAGCTGACTGGGTGGATGTGGGCAGAGTGAGGGTGTAGGCAAACATGGCTGTGTGGTGGTCGGTGGGACTGGCTACCAGGAAAGGGAGGCCCGACTGGCAGAAAGAGAGGGAGATGATCTGGTTCTTGGCTTAGTGGGCCCTTCTGGGTAGAGCTTTGCATTGTCATTCAAGGAATGGATCATATTAAGTGGATAGGTGACAAATCTTGCTTTTTCCTAGAAGTTGTACCCTTTTCCCCTCTTGATCAGATCTCTACCCAGAACTCCAGTGTACAAGGCAGATGGAAGCAGAGTGCCTCCTGCCTGCCCGAGTCATGCACACCTCGGCCTTGGTCGCCTCGAATCTCCCAGAGTCTTCTCCACCAGTCCTTCAGTGCCTCTTGGAACGTGATTTGAAGCCCACCGAGCTACAACTCAGTTATTTTTGTCTCTTTAAGATGCTGTGGGGAGGAAAGCTAGTGGAAGGATTAGGAGGCATCTATTTCTCATCTGACATGATCACCCTTCTCCAATTTCAGTTAAATGCGGTCAAGCTGCATGGGCACGGCATTCCCCGCTGGACATATTCTTAGGGGGCCAGTAGCAGCCTACAGCTGTGGTAGTCACACTCATCACATATGTGTCCTGTCACTTTACATCATCACAAGAAGGGAGCATTCAGGAGTAAGGTGTTCTGAGAATGAGACCATCTTCAAGTAACTTGAGGGGTGTTACCAGCCACTTAGTCAGGAGTCCAGGCGTGCTGTGCACCTTGGAGCCCTTGGTAAAGTCGTCTCACTTCTGGAGATAATACACTTTATTTA